CGCGGGGCCCTGCCGGGGGTGCGGGGGAAGGGGCAGGCAGGGCTGCAGCATGGGGGTGGGTATTGCGGGGGAGGGGGCAAGCAGGGCTGCAGCATGGGGGTGGGTATTGCGGGGGAGGGGGCAAGCAGGGCTGCAGCATGGGGGTGGGTATTGCGGGGGAGGGTGCAAGCAGGGCTGCAGCATGGGGGTGGGTATTGCGGGGGAAGGAGCAAGCAGGGCTGCAGCATGGGGGTGGGTATTGCGGAGGAGGGGGCAAGCAGGGCTGCAGCATGGGGGGGGGTATTGCGGGGGAAGGAGCAAGCAGGGCTGCAGCATGGGGGTGGGTATTGCGGAGGAGGGGGCAAGCAGGGCTGCAGCATGGGGGGGGGTATTGCGGGGGAAGGAGCAAGCAGGGCTGCAGCATGGGGGTGGGTATTGCGGAGGAGGGGGCAAGCAGGGCTGCAGCATGGGGGGGGGTATTGCGGGGGAAGGAGCAAGCAGGGCTGCAGCATGGGGGTGGGTATTGCGGAGGAGGGGGCAAGCAGGGCTGCAGCATGGGGGGGGGTATTGCGGGGGAAGGAGCAAGCAGGGCTGCAGCATGGGGGTGGGTATTGCGGAGGAGGGGGCAAGCAGGGCTGCAGCATGGGGGGGGGTATTGCGGGGGAAGGAGCAAGCAGGGCTGCAGCATGGGGGTGGGTATTGCGGAGGAGGGGGCAAGCAGGGCTGCAGCATGGGGGGGGGTATTGCGGGGGAAGGAGCAAGCAGGGCTGCAGCATGGGGGTGGGTATTGCGGAGGAGGGGGCAAGCAGGGCTGCAGCATGGGGGGGGGTATTGCGGGGGAAGGAGCAAGCAGGGCTGCAGCATGGGGGTGGGTATTGCGGAGGAGGGGGCAAGCAGGGCTGCAGCATGGGGGGGGGTATTGCGGGGGAAGGAGCAAGCAGGGCTGCAGCATGGGGGTGGGTATTGCGGAGGAGGGGGCAAGCAGGGCTGCAGCATGGGGGGGGGTATTGCGGGGGAAGGAGCAAGCAGGGCTGCAGCATGGGGGTGGGTATTGCGGAGGAGGGGGCAAGCAGGGCTGCAGCATGGGGGGGGGTATTGCGGGGGAAGGAGCAAGCAGGGCTGCAGCATGGGGGTGGGTATTGCGGGGGAGGGGACAAGCAGGGCTGCAGCATGGGGAGAATGTGGGGTGGACAAGGGAGGGGGATGCACTTGGGGAGTGGTCTGAAATGGCCACGCACATAGTAGGGACCTGCGGGGCCTGGGTCTACAGGCTGGAAGCAGTGCTGGGGATAATGCATCGTGGAGGGCGGCAGCTGGGGTGAGAGTGTGGTGATGGAAGTAGGATGAGGGATGGAGTGTTTGGGATGGGGGAGGGGGAGAAGTGGTGCTGAGAAGATGCCAGAGGTGTTGTGAATAGTAGGGGTCTGGCTCTGCCTCTTGCACTGTTCCCCGCTTCCCAGATTGTGTGAAAACCATGTGGTCCCAGCTGAGGTTGATAGGGCAAAGGGGCGGTGCTAGAGGCAGCATGGCGGGGAAGCAAGGCCCAGCAGAAGGATCAATAAGTCACTGTTGTTATGAGGATGCATATTTATACCCAGGCTGTTTTTTCCCAAGCTCCAGCTGGAGGGTTTGGCATGAAACAAAAGTAATGGCTCCATGTCTGCAGTGGAGGAAGGCCTGCAGTTCCAGTGATGGACCAGACGCAGTGGTCCCCAACCTTTCGTGGCTGCCAGGTGTCCGGGGGCGGGACCACTCATGCGCCACACTTCCGGGGGCAGGGCCGCTCATGCGCCCTGCGCTCAGGGCCAACACTACGCATGTGCAGCGCACCAGGGGAAGGGGCCACCCACGCACCCTGAGCCCAGGGCGGGCATCACGCATGTGCCGCGAGCCCAGGACAGGGGCCACCCATGCGCCACACGCCCAGGGCCGGCACCACGCATGTGCTGTGCACTGGGGGCGGGGCCAGCCCAGATGTTTCGGCGGGCGCTCATAAATGCCCCAGCGGGCGCCATGGCAGGGACCACTTGTCCAGAGGATGCTCAGCATCCCATTAGTATCATAAAGGAAGCAAGGGGGACCTCTCTCTCACTCTGCTGCCTCCGCCTGGTGTGGAGCTGGCTGAGAATTAAACATTTGTCATTGTCAGGCCACATTTGGTTCCAAACTGACATGGGTGTGATTTGTTCCCCATCTCACACAAGTGTCCCTGACACCTCAGGCCACTAGAGATGTTTTGTTTTTTAAAATCCAATGGAACCTGGTTGATGGAGTGTTGCCCTGCCGCTCTCACCCAATTTTGCAGTGCTGGGCTAGTGCAGGATTGCGTGATGTTGCAGCAGACAAGAAACCACCACTTTTCCCGTTTCATTGCTTGAGCTAAGCCATGTAAAGGAAATTTTTTAATGAGTTTTGCCTGTGTACGAACTTCAGCATTTGGGTTTCTCGCTCACAAGCAATAGAAGTTTTATTGGGCATTCTGCTTGCTTCCTCTGAGCTCAGTTGGTGCATGGATTGTCACAGAGGACAATTCTGGTAGCATATGACATCCACTTGCATGGGTGTGCATAACTGCACAAGATACAGGGCGACTGGGAAACAGGCACTGAGCATTCAATAGGACTGCATAGCTGTACAAACATAATTGTGTGCTTCTCTTAAATCATGGTTTTCATAAAATACTAGAAAGAACATGGAGAGGTCATCAAGTCATGGCACTCATGGCACAACCAAGCACCATCCCTAGATCATCCCTGATCGATGCCTATTTAACCTGCTCTTAAATATCTCCAATGATGGAGATTCCACAGCTTCCCTAGGCAATTTATTCCAATGCTTAATCACAGTGACTGGAAGTTTTTCCTAATGTCCAACCTAAACCTCCCATACTACAATTTGAGTCCATTGCTTCTTGTCCTATCATCAGAGGTTAAGGAGAATAATTTTTCTCCCTTCTTGTAACACCCATTTAGGTACTTGAAAGCTGTTAAGTCCCATCTCAGTCTTTTCCAAACTAAACAAATCCAATTCTTCCAGTCTTCCTTCAGAGATCGTACTTTCTAGACCTTTAATCGTTTTTGTTGTTTTGGACCTTTTCCAATTTCTCCACATCTTTCCTGAAATGTGGAGCCCAGAACAGGACTGAATTGATTGTCTGTGCCTCCTTTCCTCCCCCTTTAAAAAAATTCCCCACAGATGAATGATCCTGCTCCTTTCAATCAAACGTCTGTTCAAAGCCACATGGATATCTTTTTTCTTATTTTATTCTTTCTTTTCCTGCCACCCACTCTTAGACCTCTGGTTCTGCCAAAACAATAGGGCTACGTCTATACTGCGCATTGTTACGCAAGAAGATATGCAAATAAGGCGCAGGGATGAATATCGCCGTGCCTCATTTGCATACCTAATGAGCCGCCATTTTGCGAAGGGGGTTTTGCGCAAGAAGGGGGTTTTGCGCAAGCTGTCTACACAGCTCCTTCTTGCACAAAAAACCCCTCCTGCGTAGGAGCCGTTCTGCCTCTTATTTTCAGGAAGAATGGCTCCTGCGCAAGAGGGGTTTTATGCACAAGAAGGAGCAGTGTAGACAGCTCCTTCTTGCGCAAAACTCCCTACCGCAAAAATGGGATGTACCTTTTTTGCTCTTTTACAGACATCAAGGAACTCAAATGGGATGTACCTTTTTTGCTCTTTTACAGCCATCAAGGAATGTTACAGACTGATCTGAGGAAGTGGGTCTGGCCCACGAAAGCTCATCATCTAATAAACCATCTTGTTAGTCTTTAAAGTGCTACATTGTCCTGTATTTTGCTTCAGCTACACCAGACTAACACGGCTACATTTCTGTTACTATAATAACAGAGCACTGCTGAATGCCCCAAACA